TTAAATATATTATAATTTTTATATATATATTTCAGGAAGAAAGGGAGAGAGAGAGAAACATCAATGATGAGAGAGAATCATTGATTGGCTGCTCTCTACATGCCCCACACCAAGTATCCAGCCCACAACCTAGGCATGTGCCCTGACCCTGAATCAAACTGTGATTTCCTGGTTCATAGGTTCATGCTTAACCAGTGAGCCTTGCTAGCCAGGAGCTCCTCTCTTTACAGGAGGAGAGAAGCTTTAAACCTTAGGCTGGTGATTCTGGATGCTGCAAGAAAAACCTAGTTTCTTATGTTCTCTTTTCCATCTTAGTCATCTAAGAACGCTGCCATTTCCCAACAGAAGAGCCAAGAAAAGGATAGAATGGCTCTTGACCTTAAAACCATCTACCAGGTGAGTTGGTGTTTTTTCCTGAAATATTGTTCTGCTGTATGAAATAAGCAGACCTTAGTTTTTCTTTTGCTGAAGCTTTTCCTGTGTAATCAATTATGTTACTTCTTAAAACTCTCCAATGGATTTTTACCCACTCAGGTTAAATGCTGAAGTATTTTCCTTGGCTAACAAGGCCCAACATAATCTGGCCCTCTGACCTCATCTAATTTTTCTCACCCTGTCTATAACTTACTTGGTTCCAGCCATACTAGCTTCCTTGTAGTGAGTTGGATATATTCTTAACTCATAGCCTTACACTTGCTATTCCCTCTTGCCTGGAATGCTGTTCCCTCAGATACAGACCAACTTCTTTAGTCTCTGCCCAAACATTCATTCAACAAATTTTTAATAAGTACCTATTAACTAAGAGGGTTTAATCCTTGGTCCTCCTCTGTGCTCTGTCTACAGTCACTCTTTTGTTGATCTTATCCTGTCTCACAGCTTTAAATACCGTCTATATGCCAATAACTTCCAAATTGTATATTAGACCTCTCTCCTATAATCCAGACTTGTATATCCAACTACCTACTTAGTATCTTCATTTGATTATATCATAGATACCTCAAACTCAGACATCTCAAACTGAGTGAAACGAGCCTTTGGATGTTTTAGAGCAGTGGTTGCCAACCTTTCAGACCTCACGGACCACCAGTGGTCTGCAGACCACTGGTTGGCGACCGCTGTTTCAGAGCACAGGAAGCAAAGGATCACTCTCACTGCTACTTAGACCAATGGTTTTCAACCTTCCTAATGCCGCAACCCTTTAATACAGTTCCTCATGTTGTGGTGACCCCCAATTTCATTGTTACAAATTGAACATAATTAGAGCATAGTGATTAATCACAAAAACAATATGTAATTATATAGGTGTTTTCCGATGGTCTTAGGCGACCCCTGTGAAAGGGTCGTTTGACCCCAAAAGGGGTCGCGACCCACAGGTTGAGAACCGCTGACTTAGACTAAACCTAATGTGACAAAGATAGAGGCAGGGAAACCAACTGGGAAATTCTTACATATTCCTTATTTGAAGTGCTCAAGCTAGAAGTCTTTCACCTTCAAAAGATATCTAGAATCTGACCACTTCTTAATACCAACACTTTTTTTTTTCCTGGTCACATCATCATCTCTCAACTAGATCATTGCTATACTCTCCTAACTTACTCTCTTCTAGTCTGTTCTTAACAGAGCAACTGAAGTGATCCTGTTACACAGGTTATATTATGTAATTCCTCTTCATGGTGGGGATAGAAATAAAAGTATAGACAACTTTATAAAATAGTTCAGCTATAAGCAAAAAAGAGAAATGGGTGGTGACTGAAGGAGAAAATGGTGGACAAAGTTTCTTAAAGATGAGTATATGTCTTAGGCTGATGTGGATTCTGTAGAAATGGAAACTTGAAGGTGAAAAAGCGAAAGGAGAGAATTGCTGAAACACTACTTGAGTAGATCAGAGGAGCTGAAGTTTAGTGTATAAGTGGAGAGGTTAGCATTTGCTAAGAAGGCAGGCTTTTCATTTATAGTAACAGGAACAAGTTAGAGTATATAGGCAGAGGTGCAGGTAGATGTGTAGATGCTGTGGGAGTTTGTGGAAATTCTCTTAAAATGGCTTTTTTTTTTTAGTGGAAAAGAACGTACGATTATCAACTAAAAATAAGGATGGGGGAGGAGATATCAAAGATTTGAGGAGAGGAGAAAGTATTAAATGGTCATTTAGGAGAATAGTAGAATACATGGACTAGGAAAATATATTGTATAGGTAGTATTTCGTCCTACTTGAGGTTAGTGATCATGACTTTAAAGTGAGACCAGTTAGTATGGTTGGTATGATTTTCTCCAGTATGTTTACCTGTGTACTGTATAGAAATGGAGTATATGCTGAGAAATGGCTATGGTTAAGCCAGGTGAGAAAGGAGCAAGTAAGCTGAGGATGTATTAATGGGATGATTATAACAAATGGTTGTGCTAGGAAGTGAGGGTATGCAGGGATGAAGAGCAGTGAAAACATGGCAAGATCAATGATCTGTAGGTTCAGTTGGGATGAAAAATTATCCTAATTGGGATACCATAGAGCAAAAGTTGGAATATAGAAGATGGAAGTCAGAGTTGAAGAGTTGAGATTATGGAGGGTTTGGCAATGAAAAGGTCTGGGCATTATGATGGAAGTGTGACTTTAGAAGTGTAGAGGACGGCATTAGTGAAGGAGAGGGGGTTGGAAAACTGAGAAGCCAGGCTGTTGTGAGGATTATTTTATGGGTATTGAAATGACCAAAGATTATAACAGGAATAGCATTGGGAAGAGTGACAGTGAGCCATATGTTCAAGGAATGACAGAAACTTGGTATCTACCAGGTATTGGTAGATAACTGAAATGAGGGATAGTGTGATTGATATAGTCTGACTTCATGAGGCATAAAACTAGGTGTCTTTCTGTTGCATAAATAATGAATAAAATGATTCATATGTTTGTAATTCCATTGTTACATGTTATCAGCAGTGCCAGGACCAAAACAGTTATCAGTTTCAAAACGGGCATAGGACAAAAAAGTTATTCATTTCTGTAGATTCTTTTAAATTTTGAAAATGACTTTATAATCATTCAAAGTGTGTATATATTGCTTTGGAACACCCTGTATTTATATAAACTAAAAAAGACATTTTTTGAAAGCATATATACCATATGAACCAAACTCTTAACAGGAATGTTTCTGCAACATATGAGATATGTTACTGGCAGAACAGAGAAGGAAAAATTCACAAACTACTTCATATAATTAAGAATAAAAGTTACTGAGTGGTGAAAAACACTTTAAGAGTTTGTATTTGGCAGAGAGAGTTTCTTTAACTATGACAAAATTATTTCAAATGACCAATAATGAAGTCTTTTCTTGCCATGACAGATTTACCTCTTTCAATTTTGTAAAAAAAATATATATATTTTATACACACACACACACACACACACACACACACACACACAATTATATTAATTTCATCAGCAAGTGATCACATTATAGAAATCTGGAATCACAGCATGACTTGCAAGTTTTTAAGAACTTTGCCCAACCTATTTAGGCAGAAGTAGTAGTATGAGTGGAACATCTATTCCTTTACATAAAATGTAAGGTTCTCTTGATTGAAGTACTTGAATTTTAATGTGGTCTACCACATTTTTTAGAGATATAGTATATACTTTCTGGTCCCACTTTTAACCCTCTTACAGGTTCTTGAACTTTTCAAACCATTTATTTATTCAGTTTATTCAATGCATGTTTGAATACCTCACCTGTGCCAGATACTGTTCTGTACCCGGGAATACAGCAGTGGCTGAAACAAAAACATGCTTTGCCCTCATGGAGCTTATATTGTAGTGGAGGTGAGGGACAGACAATAAATAACAAAAAAATTAAGTGCTATCAAGAAAAATAATGAGCGTTCGTGAATAGAGAACTGAGGCATGAGCATTGATATTTTTATACAGAATGATCCGAGAAGTACAAAAGCCCTAAAGGGGATCATGCTTTACATATTTGAGGTTGTAATATCAGGGAGACCCCATTGTGCCTGGGGCAAAATGAATAAGTGTGGTAAGAGATGAGGTTATTTTACTTTCACTTATTTCACTTCAGGAGTTGGTGACCTTTGGGGATGTGGCTGTAGACTTCTCCCAAGAGGAGTGGGATTGTCTAAATTCTTCTCAAAGGCATCTGTACAGTAATGTGATGCTGGAGAATTACAGGATCTTGGTATCACTGGGTAAGAATTAAGCTTCTATTCATAAGGGGCTCTTTGCTACCACCATTATGATTTTTTGGATAGCATCTGTAGTGGTTGGTTGAATGTGTGCTGCTTGTACCAAATAATGATTTATAAATGTTTGTGGAGTTGGCAGTGGACAGGTCTATTATTAACCTATGTTGGAAGCTTCATTTTCCCTATGCTTTGAATACATGTCTCTTCCCTGATGAACAAAGGATTGGATGTGAGTTCTGGGATATCCACAGCATGACCAAATTCTGTTTCTTTTTATATATGCAGGACTTTGTTTCTCTAAGCCAAGTGTGATATTATTGTTGGAACAAGGAAAAGAGCCCTGGATGGTAAAGAAAGAGCTGGCAAAAGACTTGTGCTCAGGTGGGTGAAGAAGAATTAGGCAGACAAAACCTTTGCAGGGCACAGCTCTGTTTGTGTCACCCCATCACTTTTCCTTGTTGGCATGTTCTCAAGTACTCTAGGTCTTAGTAGAAGCTCAGGGCCTTTTAGGGTGTTCTCCCAATTTATTATTCATAACTGTCTCTCTTTTAACATTTTGCCCCCTTCTTTCTAATAACTCACTTATCTATTCTCTGAATACAGTTTCTTCCCAGTTTCATAAGCCTCTCTCAGTCTTTTAAAAAAACATTTTCCTAATCTGATAAACTTTTAAGCTGGACAGATAGCTGTAACTGATGTACCAGGTTGAAATCCTGACACATGCAGGAAAATTTGGGGAAAGTTACTAACCTCTCTGTGCTTTTGTTTCATCATATGTAAAATGGGGTAACACTTTAAAATTCTTTGAACAGTTCCTACCTCATATTATGAACTCAATAGATGTTAGCTACTACTGCTACTGGTAGTATATCTCTAAATGCCTCATTTTTCTCTTAATGGTCAGTTTATTTTCCCTTTAATCAACATATTTTGAAATTGTACTTTAAACAAGGTACTTGCAAGATACTAGGGTGTTATACACTTATATAAATAAATAATTAGTAGGCTAGTTATGATATAGCTATAAATGGAATATCTGGAGAGAAAGCTGACATAAATGGAAAACTCACAGAAAAAGGTGAGAGGCAGAAGAATCTGGGTAACTGGAAGATGATGATCTTAAGCAAAAACACAGGTCAGAAGCTAGAAAACATGCACATACTGTGAGTTTATCTTTGTGGCACAGGAAGGATTTTCATACAGATAGGAAGCCTTAAGATAAAATGGAAAACTGAAGTTCAGAAAAAAATCAGGGTCTTTATAAACATCTCTGTCAATATCATTCCCCACTCAACTATCACTACTTCTTCCCATGTTTTATATATGTCCTTGTTCAGTTTTCTGAGAAAAAAATTTGATGTAGAATCATAGTATTAAATATATATTATTTTAAATAATTATTAAATAACTCTCACACACATAAATATATATTAGCATGCATGTGTAGTTTAAATAGTATTAGAACAAAAAACCCATAAACCTACTTCTTAGTATAAGAAATAGAAAATTGTCAGTACCATTTGAGGCCCTTAAAGGCCTCTGCCCAATGATATACCACTTCATGGTTCATTCTCACCCCTCATTGGAGAATCAATTTTGCTTATAATTTATTGGCTTTTCTTTATAGTTGTATCATATATCCCTATTTTCAACTTTTTATGCACAGAATTGTGTATGTAATTCTGACTTTTTAAAACTCAAAATTGTATTACTGAGATTCATCCATGCTGATTTTAGTTTCTGTGGTTCATGGAATATTTTTTTTTTCTTCTGAAATGTAATGTATTCCACTGTGTAAACGACACTTTATCCATTTAAGGTCATTGGAATTGTTTCCGTTTTATGTTAGTGCTATGAATCTTAGTAAATCTGACTGCTAGTACACATATACTGGAGTTCATTTAGAGAATACAGCCAGAAATTTACTTGATAATGTTATTTTACTTTCCAACGTGTTTGTACTAATTTACATTTCTAACAATTGTGTGTAAGGTTGGTCATTGTTCCACACTTGGAATAGACAAATTAAAAAAAAATTTTGCTAACCTTCTGGGTATAAAATATTATTTCTTTATATTTTAATCTGAATTATCTTGATTACTAAAGAAATTGAGCATATTTTAGTATTTATAATGGCCATTTGGATTTCCTCTCTAGTCTTTTGCCCATTTTAGAAAGGTTGTCTTTTGTACATACACTAGTGGCCCAGTGCATGAAATTTGTGCAGGGGGGGGGCAGGGGTATGGGGTTCCCTCAGCCCAGCCTGCACCCTCTCCAATCAGGGACCCCATGGGGGATGTATGACCATCGGTTTAGGCCTGATCCCTGTGGTCAGACATCCCTAAACTGGCGGTCGGACATCCCTCTCGCAATCTGGGACCACTGGCTTCTAACTGCTCACCTGCCTGCCTGCCTGATCACCCCTAACTGCCTCTGCCTGCCTGTCTGATTTCCTCTAATTGCCATCCCCTGCCAGCCTGATCTCAACCTAACTGCTCTCCCCTGTCAGCCTGTTCTTGCCCTCAACTGCCTCTGCCTGCCTGATTACCCCTAACTGCCCTCCTCTGCCGGCCTGATTTTGCCCCAAATTCATGCACGGGTGGGGTGGGAGGAGTTCCTCAGCTCAGCTTGTACCCTCTCCAATCAGGGACCCTTTGGGGGATGTCTGGCTGACGGTTTAGGCCCCTGTGGGATCAGGCCTAAACTGGCGGTCGGTCACCCCTCTTGCAATCTGGGACGGCTGGCTACGAACTGCTCACCTACCTGCCTGCCTGATTGCCCCTAACTGCCTTCCCCTGCCAGCCTGATCCCCCCTCACTGTCCTCCCCTGCCGGCCTGATCTCGCCCCCAATTTCCCTCCCCTGCCGGCCTGATCTTGTCTCCAACTGCTCTCCCCTGCTGCCCTGATCTTGCCCCGAACTGCCCTCCCCTGCTGACCTGATTGCCCCTAACTGCCTTTGCCTCCTCATAACCCCTACAGCCCTCCCCTGCTGGCCTGATCTTGCCCCCAACTGCCCTCCCCTGCCGGCCTAATTGCCCCTGACTTTGCCTCAGCCCCCACCACCATGGCTTTGTCCTGAAGGAAGTCCGAAAGATAGCTGGTTGACCTGGTATAATTAGCATATTACCCTTTTATTAGTATAGATAGATTATATAGGATAGGATTGCTTAAATGGAGGGGGGGGCTTTTTCATCAGGAGGAGATGCTCTTGGCAGACAAAAACACATAATCCCTATATCTGGACTGATAGCCAGCCATATGCACTATACTGCCAAAACAGTCATTAAAAAATTGAACTGCTTTCTTACACCTTACACCAAATAGCTGTTGTCCTTAAAACCCCTCCTCAGCCCCCACCTTAGGTTCTGCCTTGGTAGTTTACCCAGATTAGGTTCTGATTGATCAGTTTCTATGCCAGTCAGCATCAAAAGCTCCACCTCCTAGGCTGCCATTGGCTCCCGGCACTTAACCCATATTTGGTTTTGATTGGTCGGTTTCTATGCCACTCAGCATCTCCAGGACTATCTCTGGGCCTGATCAAAGAGGCTTGGCTGATCAGCAGCCCCCCTGGAGGCCTGGAGAGAAACAGAGGCTGGGCTGCTGGCGAAGACCAGAGGAAGAGAGAGGCAACGGCTGATTAACAGCTGCCACAGAGGCTGCAGATCAGACCCTGCCTCTCTCTCTTCAGGCCTCTCTCCTGGCCTGATCTGCAGCCCCCTCAGCAGTCAGTGCTGGGTCGCTGCACTGCACTGGCTGCAGTCAGTGCTGGGTCGCCCTGGCAACCCAGCACTGACTTCTGGTGTGGGGTCAAGCCTTGGTCTTTGCAGAAGTTACTGACCCTGGCTCTTTATGTACATAGATTTGTAGTTTATATTTTTGATATTTTGTTTTAAACCTTTCTACATTCCAAAATCATATATATACTCTTAAATTGTTTTTTAAAGATTTTCCTTTTATATTTAGGGCCATAATATAATTGAACTTGATTTTTGAGATTGAAGTAAATTTAATTTTAGTACCTATGGAAAAGCAGATGTCATAGATATTTATTAAATAAATGAGCCCTCTTTGTTCATTGTTCTGAATGTTATGTACTAGATCAGATTATAGTATATTTATGGTTCTGATTTTTTTAAACTATAAGAGAACATTTATTTGGAATATAAGAGATAGAAGAAGTAATTTGTAGAAGAAATGGGATTAGAAAACAATTTATAGAGGTAAAGGAAGGGCCCTTGGAGCTTAGGAGTGAGTAAGGTCATAGTAACGCACCTGGGCAGGAGGAGAGGTGTGGCAGGAAGGGAAAGGCACAGGCTTGCTCCAGGAGGGAGAGCATAGGGGTTTAATTTTGAGCTCTATTCCATCCATCTCGGTTTCTTTATGCCCAACCTATCTTTAATTAAAATACTTTATTGTAACACTGAATATCTGTTAGGGCAGGTACCTATCTATGTCTTGCTTATGTTCTTTAGAATCTTTTGTTTTCCCTTTGGCCATCCAAATAAAGTTTAGGGTCGGCTTGTCAATTTCTACCAGAAAATAAAAGAGCTATTGGCTTTTAATTTGTTCATTTATTTATTTTATATACCAGTTTTTCTCTTTGTAAATATGATTTATCTCCATTTATTTAGGTTTTAAAATTAATCCTTACCTGTGGATATTTTTTCCGTTACTTTCTAGAGAGAGTGGAAGGGAGGGCAGAGGAGGAGAGAGAAAGATTAAGATCTCAACAACTGAGAGAGACACATCAGTTGGTTGCCTCCCACATGTGCCCCTACCAAGGCTGGGAAACCTGCAACCAAGGTACGGGCCCTTGACTAGGGCATGTGCCCTTTGGTCTGCAGGCAGGTGCTCTAACCACCGAGTCCAACTGGCCAGGTCTCATTCAATATGTTTTATAATTTTCTCTATAAAACCCATGCGCATCTTCTGTTAGATAAATTCCTAGGCATATTGATTTTGATGCTATATTAAATGTTGTCTATATTTTCTATTTGTTGTTTGTATGTAAAAATGAAGTTAAGTTGTATACATTGACTTTATATCCAGCAACGTTTCTAAGCTGTCCTGCTAATAATACTACATTTTAGATTTCTTTGGATTTTATTCTGTGAGCAGGTAATCTGTGAATAATGGTAGTTTCTTCATTTTAAATTCTTATGCCCTTAATTTCTTTTTGTTTTTGTTAACCTGTCTTCAATCTTCAGTATGGTATGAACTAAAGTAGTGATAGCAGGTATACTAGTACTTGTCAACTTCTGGTCTCAATGAGAATGCTTTAATATTTTTTTATTAATAATTCTGATGTTTACAGGTTTTTAGCAAATACCCTTTTAATTCTACTTACTAAAGTTTTGAGTTTTAAGACATGTTTTTTAGT